TTAAAATAATTGAAAATTGCCAACCATTTAAAATAATAATAAAAGCCATAATATATCCAGAAATTAACATAAAAGTATAAGAACTTTATGAGGAAAAAAACCTTTATTAAATTACATAAATGAGAAGTAAAGAGATATATGAGAGTGTGGCCATAACANCTCTCATCATTGATGTTTCTATGTATCTCTCTCTCCCTCTCCCTTCCTCTCTCTGAAATCAATAAAGATATATTTTTAAAAAAACACATCTATAAGGAGAAGCATTTATGTTAAAGCCAGTGAGCCATTAGGCCAATGGACTTAAAAGGGAAAAGAGAAATCGCCGTGGGGGGCAACAGGGCGTCCCCTCCACCTGCGGGAGGGGCGCTGGGACTGGGCGCAGGCAGTGGGCGTCAGTCACAGCGGGCATCTGCAGGGGCCTGGCCACGTGATGAGCTGCTGTCCCAGGCCTGGCAGGAGCCTGAGCCGCTCAAACAAAAACGAACTGCAACAATGTCAGTGGCACTGCACACTGGGGGAAGTCACAAATGTGCTCTCGTGCTTTTCCTGAGAGTGTGGCCATAACAATAAATCTCATCTAGTTACTTCCTAAGGCCGCTCCCTCTGAGGTCTCAGGTTCCTCTTCAGGACAGACGCTTTTAACTCGAGCCTCCACTTTAGAAACAAAAATCGCTCAACCCATCAGCTATTAGTAATCTAAGCCCAATAGCGTGGGACCACATTTGTGACTTCCTTCAATGTCTTTTCAAAACTACACACACCTGCACCTGCCGGGATTACACTGCTCCCCAGCCTGCCCGGCCTCGCCCACCCCTCCTCCCGCTCCCTCTCCCCTACCGGGGTTCATGCTCCAGAGTCTAGACTCTGACCTTGGGGTTACAGTTGCTGTAACTACATCGTCCTTCCATCCTTCAGCCAAAGTGCTCGAATTGCCAGACGATATCCTACCTGATTTGCCACCACAGCTCTTGAGGAGTGAGTGTTATCTCCACTTTAACTATGAGAGAATGGAGGCCGAAGGAGGTTAGTGTTGCCCAGACTTACCCAGATACGAAGTAACAAAGCATAACTTGAACTCAGGATTTATGATTCAAAATCTTATACTTCTAATAATTGATTAAAATAATTGAAAATTGCCAACCATTTAAAATAATAATAAAAGCCATAATATATCCAGAAATTAACATAAAAGTATAAGAACTTTATGAGGAAAAAAACCTTTATTAAATTACATAAATGAGAAGTAAAGAGATATATGAGAGTGTGGCCATAACAATAACCTGAGAGAGGGCATCCTAACATAATGAAAAAGTCAATTGCCCCCATATCTTTAACTGAAATGATGCCCCAACCAAAATTATAGTAGGATTTGGGGAGAAATTGACAAGTTGATTCCAAAATGTACATGGAAATAAGGTCCATGAATATCTTAGGCAATTTGGATAAAGAAGAGCATATTAAAGAGCCATAGACAAACCCATGCATATAGGGAACTTGGTGTAAAATCCTTGGGGATAAATGGAATATTTGGTCATCTGTACTAGAAAGATTAATTTACTATTTGGACGAAAAGAAAATTGTATCCTTACACCAAATAGAAAAATTCTAGATCAATAAACATCTTGATGTGAGAGGAAAACAATCACGCTAATTACAGCGCAGTGGAATATCACAGGCAGCCAGATAGATGTAAGGCCAACATTTTTACCCCAAATTACTCATCAGAAAAGAGGGGATCACCTCATATGGAAGTCCTTAGGGTTTTTCATTCCAAATTAAGGCCACTCCAAAGCTATTTGGAGAAGATACATTACCTTGAAATGATCTCAATTAATAAATTCATTAGAAGAATTAGAATAAAATTGTTTTATGAAATGTGAGAGTGAGAACAGCAATATGCATACATTAATATATTACATTAGAAAATGTGGTTTTAAATTTATGAGTTGGTAACTAAATAAAGGTAGTTTGGCTATTTGACTATTTCCCTATAACTTCTATATCCCTAAAATTGTATATACTAAAATTTGTCAAAAAAATACTTTTAAAATGTTCTCACTGAGAAAGTGGAGTATTTATTACTTTATCACTTTATATTCCAGCAAAAATTGTCACTTTATTGCCATGTGGTTGGAAAGGATTTCTTAAGATCATAAAAGCACAAACCACAATGGTTTTGAAGATCAAAATTAAACCTATTCAGGGAAAAACTGTATAAATTTAACTGATGAGCAGCAAATGGAAGAAGGCATTTGCAATATTTATACTGACATAAGATTACTATATGGAATATATTAGATTCCCACAAATTCACAAGAAAATGCAATTTTTAAATAGACAAAAGATATGAATCAGCAACTCACAGAAGAGCGAACCCTATGAAAAGATGCCAGCCTCACTAGTAATGAGAGAAAGGCAACTTAAAACCAGGCACCGCCTTACACTCACCGAATTGCCAACATTTGAAAGCCAAATAATCTCAACTGTTAGTGATGACCAAGGAAAATGAGAACCGCCTGGCTCTGCTGGTGGAAGCGTAAACTGTTTATGGTCCCTGAGTGCTAAAAATTAGAAACTAGTTGGGTGAAAAAGTTAACATATGAAACAGGCAGGATATCCTTGAGCGTAAAGCCTGGGTTGAGTGCTTCCAAGAGTTCGGTGAAGGCCGATCAGGGCCGCAGGATTAGGGAGAGGTTCGCAGAAGGGTGAACCTTGAGTGCCTCCAGCGTTGGTTAAGATGGGAACAAGCAGAGCGGAATGAGGAAGGTGTTCGGGTGAGAGGAAAAAGCCTGGGCTAAAGCGAAGACAGACATGATACTGTTGGGGAAGAGGGAGAAAACACACTCACTGAAGAACAGGATTCCTGCTGGGAAAAGTGGGTGATATTTTTTATTAGAAGCGGGACCCAGAGTAGACAGGGTCTTGAGTGCTTCTTGAGCATTATGAGTGACAGTCTAACAGACAAAAAAAAAGTGACAGTCTAATAGGATTCTTGATCAGAAAGCACCTAACCTAAGTCCATCATCTTACAGGTGACGAATTTGAGGCTCAGAGAGGGGATGTGACTTGTCTAAGGTCACACAGCATAACAAAAGCACCTTCAAGGTTTGACTGGAAGGAACTTCTGGATAAGTTGGAAAATAGATAGAAATCAGGAAGTAGAAAGCAATAAGAGATAGATGTAGAATGGTAAAGTGAAAAGAAAAACATCTCAAAGGGAGAAAATATAATACTTGAAGGTAGATTCAAAGTAGATTCCAGAAAAGAGAAAGAAGTCAATGGTGCTGCTATGCTCCCCTGTGAAAATCTTGGCTAAGTTATTGAGCAATTTTTCTATGTGCCACTGTTCTAAGCCTCCATCGGATAGTAACTTACATAAGCTTCACAACAATCCTATTAAGGGGGTCACTACTATTATCATCCTTCTACTGAACATGCTACCAAGGCACAGAGGGCTTAAGTAACTTGCCCAAGAGTACACAGCTAAAATTTAAGTCACAGTTGAATTCCTAGTAGTCTGATTCCATAGCCCATACCCTTAACCAGTGTGCATGCTGCTCTTAGAAATGACGTGGTTCAGAGAGGTTCCAGCTCCTGGAAAGAATTGGTATTTTCCCTTAGATTCTGGTACAATGCAAACAACAGAGATTCCTTCACCAAAACCAAAATAATTTCTGGTTAACCTCAATGCCACCCCCTCCTTCAAAGCAACCTCCAGACCCTAAAGAAAGCCAGAGGCAAAGCATATGCAAAGCAATCTAGCCCCGGGAGGCAGGTGCCCTGGCCCAGCCCACTATCAGCCCAGGACAGCACTGTCAGTTCTACTTGGAGGAGCGGCTCAGGCCAAAGAACAGCCCGTTTGGAAGGACACGTGAATTCAGGAAAATAGAAATCCAGGCTGTTCCAGGGCCCTTCCAGGCTGTTCAAATGTCACTTCAGGAGTATGATTATACTGTTTTCACAGAACTGACCTGTTGAAGTTAGAATAGCGTCTGGCCTGGCCAGCGTGTGGCTCAGTTGGTTGGCAGTCATCCCGTGCACAGAGAGGTTTCGGGTTCGATTCCCAGTCAGGGCACATGCCAGGGTTGTGGGTTTGATCCCCGATAGGGGGCATGCAGGAGGCAGCCAATCGATGTTTCTCACTGATGTTTCTATCTCTCCCTCTCCCTTCCTGTCTCTCTCTAAAAAAAAAAAAAAAAATCAATAAAAACATTAAAAAGACTAGCTTCTGAAGGCTTCCTTTCCCCACTCCTGCACTCCTGTTTCCCAGCTAGGGCGAAGGGGGAAGGGAGATACATACTTCTCCAGGCGGTGAAGTGCAAAAATACCCACAAGCAAAAACGTCACCATTTGGTGAGCTGGTGATCGGAAAGCAGCTCTGCCTTCATTTCTCACGGTCTGCACACAGTGACGGAGCGAAAGCGACAGCGCGGTGCTGAGACCAGGGAACAGGAGGCAGCTGAGGGGGCAGGGGGTTCCCAGTTTCCCTCCCTGAGGACAAGCTAGGTTCGGGTTAAGGCATGTTGAATGTGACATGACAACGCACTCAAGTTGAGATATCCAGAAACAAACACCATGAGTTAAAAAAAAAGGCCACAATAAAAAGTAATGAGATTTATTGCCTTGAAGTGGGAAGGACTGTGGTCATGATAGAAAGGCCACTCTGGGTTCTCTGGGATNGACATTGAATGTGACATGACAACGCACTCAAGTTGAGATATCCAGAAACAAACACCATGAGTTAAAAAAAAAGGCCACAATAAAAAGTAATGAGATTTATTGCCTTGAAGTGGGAAGGACTGTGGTCATGATAGAAAGGCCACTCTGGGTTCTCTGGGATGCAAGCCCCGAATAGCGGAGCCCCCAGCTGAGAACCTGCACACACACACACACGCACATGCATGCACACGCGTGCACATGCGCCCACGCACACACAAACACGCGTGCGTTCACACGAGCACACACACGCATGCACGCGCGCGCGCACATGCACACATACGCACACACACGCGCGCATGCGCACACATCTACACACACGCATGCACATGCATGCACACAGCCCAGGGGAGCCCCAGGCCTTCTGCTCAGGGAAGCAGCGATGCTGGGCAGCCCCTGCTAGCGAGGCCCGAAGGTGTTGGCCTCAGGCTCTGACCAGGAAGAATCAATCTGAGGAGAGAAGGGTGGAGGGAAGCCATCAGGGGGAGGCCTCCTCCCCAAAGGCCCCCTGCCTGCGGCAGCCCTACAGAAGTAGCTCTCTCCTTGTCCCCAGATCATCCCCGCACCCTTCCTGCGGCGCCCATCATCACTCCTCCGCCACTCGGGGCCATCCCTGTGACCCACGACTGTGTGTGGGAACCAGGACCCCAACCAGGCGGATGCCCATGGAGCCCATGCAGCCTTCCCCCGCGGGCCTGAGGGTCCCCTAAGTCCCCCGCAGGCCCGGGAGAATGCCGGCAGCCCACGCAGCACCGCCTGTGGCCCCCGCCGGCTGCCCCGCAGGCCACGAACCTGAACAAGGCCTCCGGAAGCAGACTATGAGCACCAAGCCAACGACGATGCCCAGCACACCCAGGCCGAAGGCCAGGCCGCACAGCACATTCTCCAGAAGATCTGAGGGCAGCGGGTTGTGGGGCACTGGACACAAAGGGGAGCAGGTGGGCCCTGAGACCTGGTAGGGAGCCCCCCACCCTGGGGAATGACCTGGGTGTCTGGGATGACAAGGGAGAAACTGGGCATGGAAGACTGAGGTTGGCTCAGAGTGGGAATGGACTAAACAAGGTCCAAGTAGAGAAAAAAGGCTCTCCCGTGGGTCTATCCTTTTTTGTCCCCAAATGAGCCAGGCTTCCAGGGAGGAGCCTCTCACCCCAGTAGGCAATTGCTGTGTAGCCGTCGATCTCATGAGTCACGAGGCAGGAGAAGAGGTCCGAGGATGAGGGTGTGAAGTTTAAGTAAGAAAAGGCCTGGAAGCTGAGTCCATTGATGGCTGAGACAAAAGTAGGCCCCGCGCCTTCCACAGGGGCTGCATGATGCTGCCAGGTCACCGTCAGGGTGGGTGGGAAGAGGTTACTGACAAAGCAGACCAGTGTGTTGGGCTTGCCGAACTCCAGGGGCTTCAGCGTGAACACCTCGGCAACAGGAAGCCCTGGGGCAGGGTGGGAAGGAGGTGTGAGGGAAAGAAGAGTCTTATTTAGATGGTACCCTGGTGTTTGATGGGACATGTCATACAGAGGGGAGGGCAGACAGTCAATGGGGATGGGCTTTGAGGGGAGAGATGAGGGAGGCCTTGGGCTCTGAGGTCTTCTTCTAGGCAAGAGCCAGAGCTGGACCTAGAGGCAGAGCCAGACCCAGGCCACCCTGCAGCCATCGGCCCTGACTTCCTGCAGTCTTCCTGTCTAGACCCCTCAGCGACATCTGATCACAGCTGTCTGACCATGAAAACACGGGCATGTCATCAGGCACATCCCCTCTTCTGCTGAGCATAGTAACACAGCGCTCAGTCACTAGGCCTCAGCTGCTCCTGCTGGCTTCATCAAGTTGAATAAATAGCTTTGAATGTCGCCACCTCTAGACCTGCCCTCTGACCCAGAGAAGCAGGGTTCAGCCCAGAGGTGGGGGGCTGGTGTGAAAGGGAACAATTCAGTGTATAGATTAATGAGGGTAAGAATGCAGTTCCCATCCCATCCCCAAAAAAGCTCTGACCTCTAGACACTGGGATTTGCCCTTCTAATTTTGGGCCTATTTCCCGGACCATGGCTTGGCAGAAGGCTTTATCAAAGAAAATGTTGGAAGAATCTCCAGGCTTCTGGGCCCAGTCAGCAAATTCAGGCAGGCGAGGAACTCGAGTGTTCTGGGAAAAGTCGAAGGAGAAAAGCAGGTCCTCATCGTAAGCCTCAGAGAGTCCGACGTTGGGACTCCAGTCCTGACAGTACATTGTGTGCTGGAACGTGTGGTTCTGTAGGTCTGGCCACCCTGCGGCTGGGATACAAAGGAGATAGGGCCCAGTTCAGGACCAGGAGCCTCCTCCCCCTCCCCCTCTTCCTCCTCTCTAGCTTAGAAAAGGCCAGGCCTGCTGCAACCAGAGGGGCAGGGCTGGGATATAACCAACCCCCCCCCCCCC